TATCGGAAGACGCCTTCGTCACAGTCATCATTGGCAGTCTTGGTCCTCATTGGCGCTCCACCCGCGCCATACTCCGAGCTCACGGGAAGATCTCTGAAGTAGCACTCTGCGCTGAAATTCACGCTGAACAGCAAGACATGGACCTGCAAGAGGAACGGCACAAGAAGAAAACGTCAGTACCCGAGTTTGCGTTTCACACTCAACGGCGCTACAACAACAACAACAACAACAACCGGCATCAACCAAAACCCGTACCTCCGTTCTGTCATCTCTGCAAGACTTCAGGGCACCCTCGCACACACTGCCCGAATAGACAGCAGTCAACACCGCCGCAACCCCAACTTCGTCCTTCAAGCAGTCAAGTGGCATCCACGCAAGCGCACCCCACGAGTCAACTGCAGTCCTCAACGGCATCGTCAACACAATCTGCACAAGGAGCAAGAAACATCGTCAGTTGCATGGCAAGATTGACTGACTCCTGCATCACCGAGTCACCACCACATTACTCACCGGAAGAGCAACTCGACAACAGCACCCCTCGCCGCGAGTCACTTCAACCGAACCCGACGTATGCAGCCATCGCTCAAAGCGAGCCGTCTGGGAAGGATACGTGGTTCTTGGATAGTTGCTGCGGACAGCACATGTGCTCTTCAGGACGCTTCGTTCAATGCGAACACCAACTTCAACGCGAAGTCGTCATCACCGTCGCCAACAACCAGAACCTGCGCACATGACGACAAGGTGTGGTGCAACTTCAGTCACGAGAGACAAACGTAATACTGCAAATGTCAAAAGTGTTAATTGCGGAGGGACTCGGCTACAACTTACTGAGCGTCAGTCAGCTAATGGCGAAAGGCATCCACCTCGAAGCAGACAGCACAACACAGGAGTTCAAGTTATACCACGGGAAGGGCGGTCTCTACATCGGGAAGGCGGTCCTGAAAAATAACGTTTTCGTCCTCGACTTCGTCCCAGATCTTGGCACTGCTGACAGCGACGGGATCGTCACCTTCACCTCCTGGACACATCCACCGGATCTCGACCCCAACTTCAGTCCCGAAGTCTTCTGGTACTCAGCACACCATCCCTGAGGCAGAACGAACAAGAGCATTAGCAACGATTCAACACTCGGCAGCAGCAGAGACAACATCGGCAGCAGCAGAGACAACATCGGCAGCAGCAGAGACAACATCGGCAGCAGCAGAGACAACATCGGCAGCAGCAGGGACAACATCGGCAGCAGCAGGGACAACACTAGCAGCAGCAGAGACAACATCGGCACCAATCGCGGGTCCTTCAACGGCACCGGTCTTCGTCGACAACACACCACCGACTCCTTCGCAACAGTTGAATCCAACCCCACGAGAAGTCCATCGAAGCGCAAACCACACCGCGGGCTTCTACTCCAACTCCGACTTGTACCGTCGCTCACCCGGACATCGCGCTGACGAAGGTCTCTGGCATAAACGAATGGGACACCCAAGCAACACGACGTTAAACAACACGATACGAGCAGGTCTTCTTGACAAAGACTCACTCCTCTTACCCGACGGCAGAGAACTTCGACGAATGAGAGGAACTTGCTTCACCTGCCCGGAAGCTGACTTACCGCACCAGCCCTTTGTTTCCCATCACAATCCAAGCGCACTAGCGTACGCACCTCTAGAGAAGGTCTACAGCGACATACTTTACAATCGCGAACCCGGTCAAGGAGCATACAACTACACCATCACGTTCATCGACGCCGCCACTCGTTATGTCTGGCATCTCAACCTTCCAAGCCGCGACATGGCCTTCGAAGCCTTCGTAGCCTGGCTCCCAGTAGCAGAACGGGAATCGGGAGTTAAGCTGAAGAGCTTTCAGTCTGACGGGGGAGGAGAATACACCTCACAAAGGTTCAAGCAGTACTTGGCAGAGAGAGGAATCAAGCGACTCATCTCCCTTCCCTACGCCCATCAACAGCAGGGTGTAGCAGAAAGAATGAACAGGACCCTTCAGAACACCATGCGCAAGCTGCTACGTGGCATGCGGCTACCCAACCACCAGTGGCCCGAGGCAATGGACCACGCCGTGATGCTGCACAACTTGCTCTCGTCATCATCGCTCCCGAACAACGCATCACCGCATCTGCTGTGGACAGGAAAACTGGGCAGCACAAAAATGTTGCGAAATTTCTGCTGCATGGTACAGTACCGACCCCCAGCTGCACGCGCTGGCCGATTCTCCCAACGCGCACAGTGGGGGCTACACCTGGGCATTGAAAAGAATTACAACGCGTGGAAGATTTTCGACGTCCACTCAAAGGAAACAGTAGCAGCACGTGATGTCATTTTCTACGAGCGACTCACCCTTTCAACGTACCTGCACAACTTGGAGACTTCACGAGATGTCACAGTCAGATTTCGTGGGGACCGAGCCTTCGCTTCGGCAGAAGATGAAGCTGACTTGGACGAGCAGACTATGGACGGAGCTTCGGAAGAAGCCGGACCACTTCCCTACTACTCGGTGGATGTTCCAATGGACGATGACAACCCTCGCGAAAGCATCAACGCCGAAGTCTTCTACGACTTCGCCGACAACGGTTACGTTACACCCGCCCGAGTCAACACCAACGAAGCCGAACGCATAGGACCCAACTTCTTACCTGATCCAGAAGAAGGTGACGAAGCAGCTTATCCCGAGGATATGACACTTCCCCGCTACACACAAAGTGGACTCCAGATACTCGGCCTCGTCACCGCGGTTCACGGCACAGCCATTCCTAAGGAGCCTGCCACGGTTCAGCAGGCTCTGGGGGGGGAGCACAGGGAAAAATGGCGCGAAGCCATGGACAAGGAGCTGAAAGCACTGGAAGAACGGAACACCTGGAAAGTTGTTCCCATCGGCGTGGCACGAAACAAGACAGTACTCACCGGGAAATGGGTCTTCCGTGTGAAGACAAAGGCAGACGGCACCATCGACAAGTTTAACGCGCGCTGGGTCGTACGCGGCTTCGACCAAGAACACGGACGCGACTTCACCGAAACATTTGCGCCGGTCAGTCGACACACCTCGCTGCGAATTCTCCTCGCGATCGCCGCCATGAAGAAGAAGAAACTGCGGCAAATTGATGTCGCCAACGCATTTCTCTACGCACCTGTCGACGCAGAAATCTTCGTCGAACTACCACATGGCTCCAACGGAGAGCCTAACCAAGTCTGTCAGCTGCTGAAGTCGCTCTACGGCATCAAACAAGCTCCGAGGCTGTGGCAACAGTACCTGCACGCAAGACTTATCCGCATAGGATTCCGCCAGCTACCTCACGACCAGGGCATGTACCGGCTTACAAAAGGCACCGATTACATCCTACTAATCGTCTACGTAGACGATCTGCTCTACATCGGGTCGACCGACGGCGTCACTACCTGGTTCGAAGGGGAGCTGCAGAAGGATCTCACACTCACAGTCTCGTCCACCGTCACGCAATACCTCGGCCTCAACATTCAGGAAGAAGAGAACGCAATCTACCTCAGCGCCGCAAAATACGCCGACACCATCGCCAAACGCTTCGCACTCACGCCAACCACTATCTCCACGCCATACCGCTACACGGCAGGAAATAACAAAGAAGGATCCGCTCCACTAAAGCCCGCCGGCATACGCGACTACCAGAGAAAACTGGGATGCCTCCTCTTCGCAGCTGTCACCTGCCGTCCGGACCTATCGTACTCAGCAAGTCAGCTCGCGACCTACCTCAAGAAACCTGAAGCTGAACACATGGCGGAACTCGACCGCGCTCTCCACTACCTCGTCAGCACCTCAACCGTCGGCCTAACCTACCACAAGAACGGGACTACGACACCTAAACTAATCGGCTACGTCGACGCCGATCACGCCGGCGACTCCGACAACACACGTTCACGCACCGGCTACATCTATCGCCTCGAGCCTATCGGACCTATCTCCTGGCAGTCGAGCAAGCAGGAGTTAATTGCTCTCTCCTCAGCTGAAGCTGAATATATCGCACTCTGCTCAGCCACCAAGGAAGGACTGTACCTTCGCGAACTCCTGGAGGAGGCGAAGCTGGCTCAGTTACCCAGCTTCTCCTTGTTCTGCGACAATCAGTCGGCAATTCGCATAGCCAACAAAAACGGATTCGCAAACAGGACGAAGCATATCGCCCTGCGATATTTCTTCGTAAGGGACGAGATCGAGAAGGGGAGACTTGAGCTGTCTTACTGTCCCACGTCCGAGATGGCAGCTGATTACTTGACCAAGAAGCTCGGAAAGCAGAAGTTCGAGTACTGCATGCTGCTGACTGGACAGAGCCACGTCACCAGCAGCGACACTCCAGAAGCGAAGGGGAGTGTTGGAAACAATTGATTTAGCGCCTCTGTCGTGTCGAAACACCAAGTCAGAAGCGAAGCGAAACATATCGAAGCATTAGCGAGTCAACCCTCGGAGGTTGAACAACTCCTGGAGGTTACGCGAAAGTCAAAGGTCAGCGACCTTTGACCTGACAAGTACAGCACGACAGCAAGGACAAACAACTGACTCGCTACTGAGCAGTTGCCCGAGTCGTCACTGTATCGAACCGCAACAGCAATAGTAAAACGGTTATTAACTGTATCTCTTCGTATTCCTTGTATTCTTATAAAAGGTTGTATCTCTTGTTTTAATCAATCTACTTTGCCCTCACATACCAGCGCAAGGTGGTTCACAAACTTCTCATTAAACGCTTCCGCTACTACATTGTTCCTACTCAGAGTTTAGTCCTGCAAAGATCCTAAGGGCTTTTCTCAGCCCAACAGCTGGCAGCAGCTCACAAAAACAGACAAGATTCCAATCCATTGAACCCACCTTATGTAGTGATGAACACTTTGTCGCTACGTTATGCTTCACATTAACTCCCATCGTATACAAAAGGTGGAAGGAGTTGTCTAACATCATACCACCGAAGCACAGGACAGGTGATAGAAATACATGTTTTCAAGGTGCTCGGCATGCTCCGGATATCCCCTTCAATTGTACTGACGCCTTTTACCCCTTTCTCGGAACAGTATGGCTCTACCACCAAGCCTCTCGGGCTTGGCTTGGCACAGGCAGTCCGGGAGAGGGTTGGCATAAAAGGCTTCCTCTGACCGATGCCGATCCTTCTTCTTCACGCCTGGAAGCGGGCCCTTCCTGTGCCGCGGTGCCCCCTGCCTGCAACCGAGAGCACAACACGCGAACAAAACAGTTGTGAGGTGCCTCGAAAAGGGATTCTTCTTGCCTGGAAGAGGGCCTGCATGTGCTACAGACCCCCCTGCTGGTAACCATATGCAAAACAGGCCAAGATCCTGGTGTGCTGATGCTGTGACGGCAGGCATCCTGGTTAGTACTGATGCCTTTGGAGCGTACACCATGGGTAGCCTGAGTAGGTGCACGTGCAGCAACCTCACCTGTGCATGTGCAGCAGGCACACGAGCTCTGAGAATGCAGGCCCCTCCTGCAGCTCCCCTCTGTCCAGCCGGTCTATCAGCTGCACCAACCCCTTCTTGTCCGGGGAGATCGTCCTCTTGTGCCCCAGGAAACGCCTGTGCCCCTCCACAGCGCGGGCCATGTTGCCGGAGTAGGTGGCGAGGAACACGTCAGCCTGCACAGACACGAGATAGTCCACCGCTGCCATGGCGTTCTGATGCGCTGCCAGCGGCGCCAGCTCCTCTGCTGTTGCCAGGGTTTCCTGTACGACACAGGAGTGTGAGTGAAGGGTGAAAAACTGGGGTATGTTCGAAGCCACTCAGTCAGCCTGCACGGACACGAGGTAGTCCACTGCTGCCATGGCATTCCGATGCGCTGCCAGAGGTGCCAGCTCCTCTGGGGTTGCCAGGGTTTCCCGAAGTGTCGGAGCCAGCGAGTGGGGAGGGAGGGGAAGGGGTGCGTACGAGCCATTCAGTCACCCCTTTCTATTTTCGAGTCAACTCACAAAATGACTCATCATGCGTGCGTGGCGTCATATGAGCCAGTCAGTCAGTCACCACCTTCCCTGTTGCATCAACACAAGGTGGTCACCTGCAAGCCTGAGAGAGAGACCCTCTAACAACAGGAATCAACCTCGGAACCACACTCCCTCCTCATCAAACCAGCCTCCTCACGCCCCAAGCTAGCGCCTACCCTCTCACCTTGCGCTCAATATAAGGGAAGCTCGCCCGTAGATCTCGCATCGTGTCATCTCCACCATAGATCTCCCTGGCAGCGATGCAGAGACGCGTGTGGTTGCGGAAGTGCACTCGAATCGAACACACAATCTCCCTCCCTTACCCTACCCCCTCTTCCCCCGTCTACCCCTTCATGTTACGCCCTAATCCCACCAAAACCTAAATTCACCTCTCACCTTGCGCTCAATGAATGGGAATCTCGCCCGTAGATCTTTCATCGTGTCCTCTCCACCGTAGATCTCCCCTGCTGCGATGTACAGGCGCGTGTGGTTGGGAAATCCCAGGGCGGAGAGCAGCACCCCCACCTCCCGGGGAGTCATGGGGCAGCTGCCCTGTGCTCTCTGCTCCGCTGCATTGATGTCCTTCACCCGCCACTGCTTTGTTGCACGCCTGCCATGAGTTGGGAGTGGGGGGACAGAAGAGGGCATCCACGGTCATGGGGCAGCTGCTTTGTGCTCGCTGCTCCGCTGCGTTAATGTCCTTCACCCGCCACTGCTTTGTAGCGCGCCTGGTTTAGATTGGGAAGGGTGGGACGGGTAAGTGTGTGGGGAGAAAAGAGGGCATGCCACGGTCATCGGGCAGCTGCCTCGTGCTCTCTGCTCCGCGGCATTGATGTCCTTCACCCTCCACTGCTTCGTTGCGCGCCTTGTGCAGGTGTGGGGTGGGAAGGGTGGGGTGGGGGGATGGTGGGGACAGAAGAGGCCATGCCACGGTCATGGGGCAGTTGCCCTGCGCTCGCTGCTCCGCTGCGTTGATGTCCTTCACCCGCCACTGCTTCGTGGCACGCCTGGTAATGGAGGGGGTGGGATGGTGGGGTTGCAGTGGCGGTGGATCATCGTGACGCCAAGGACCCTCACCACAAGAACGGTGATGCCCTGGCCTTCACTTGCCACTGCTGCGTCGCACACCTGGTGCGTTTGGGTGGATTTCGCAATGGAAGAGAGTGACCTGGTTCGGAGACAATGCGGGCACCCACTGAACGCCACGCCAGCATATTCTTCCGAGTATTGTGTTGCACACCTCCCCTCCAACTCCCCCCCCCCCCATTTTCCCCCCACTCACCTTGTAGCAGTGAACTTTGAGACGTCTAAAACCTTTTCCCCCAACGCACCTTGCAGCAGTGAGCTCGTCTGCCTGTGCCTGAGACAGTCCGTTCGAGCACCCACTGAACGCCAGCATGTCCTTTTGAGTACAGCAAAACCACACCCGTATCTCTCCCTATCCTCTACCTCCTCTCCCCACCTCCCCCCCATCCCTCCCTCCCTCACTCCCTCACCTCGTAGCAGTGAGCTCATCCGCTTGGGCCTGGGACAGCCCATGCGAGCACCCGCTGAACGCCAGCATGTCCTTCTCGTACCGCACTGCACTCCCTCCCCTATCTCCCCCACCCCCCCAATTCCCCACTCACCTGGTGGCAGTGAGCTCGTCAGCTTGCGCCTGTGACAGCCCGTGAGAGCACTCGCTGAACACCAGAATGTCCTTCTCAAATCGCACTGCACTCCCTCCTCCATCTCTCACCTAGTCGCCGTGAGCTCGTCAGCTTGCGCCTGGGACAGCCCATGTGAGCACCCACTGAACGCCAGCATGTCCTTCTCGTACCGCACTGCACTCTCTCACCTCCCCTATAACTCCCCCCCTATCCCCACTCACCTTGTAGCAGTGAGCTCGTCGGCCTGCGCCTGGGACAGCCCATGCGAGCACCCACTGAAAGCCAGCATGTCCTTCTCGTATCTCAGATGCAGCGCCACGTACGGCCCTGCCTTCCTCACCCGCCGCACCAACTCCTGGCAGTTTAGAGAGCAGAGGGATGTGGGGTGAGACAGACTCTTGTGTGACGGATCTTCTCAAAGCCTGAGAAGCTTGTTCCTGGTGTCGCAAGGAGTAGAAGGATATTGTGGGACGGATTTTCAGACGTCTAAAAAAACAGAGCACCAGCTCCTGGTGTTGCAGGGAGGAGAGGATTTGGTGTGAGACGGATTGGCATGGGTCAGCCAGACAGTTTGCAGGTGCAAAATAGCCCAATCGGGAAGGCTTTTCCGCACCATGCTCTCCAAATACTGCTATTTGCACCTTACTGTACCTCTCCAAACCCCTGGATGCGCGGCACGTCAAAGCGAATGCTATATGTGCTTACACCATTCCGTACCTCTCCAAACGCCTGTATGTGCGGTGCAACACGCACAGCCTCAAAGTGCACTGCTTGCACCGCACTAAACAACCCCTGCCTGTGCACCGCACTGTACCTCTCCGAACGCCTGTATGTGTGGCGCAAAGCGCAGAGCCTCAAAGTGCACGCCGTATGTGCTTGCACCGCACTGCACCTCTCTGAACGCCTGCTTGAGCCCCACACTGTACCTCTCCAAACGCCTGTATGTGCGGAGCAAAGCGCAGCGCCTCGAAGTGCACATGGCAGCGCAGCTTTTGAATGTCCGAAGGCAGGCCGTTGTTAGCGAGGCGTGAATCCGTTTTCAGTGCCCGCAGCACCTGGGGAGCAGGTTTGGTGGAAGAGGGGGATGGGGTTGATAAAAGTTGGTCGGTGGCTTCTGAATGTCCGGAGGCAGCCCGTTGTTGGCCAGACGGGAATCCGTCTTCAAGGCTCGTAGCACCTGACAGGCAGGTTGGGTGGAGAGAGAGGTGAAGAGAGGCGGAGGGGAGGGATGGATCGGGTTGATTAGTAGCTTCTGACTGAATGTTGGGAGGCCACCCGTTGTTGGCCAGGCGCGGATCCGTTTTTAGAGCCCACAGCACCTGGGGAGCAGGTTGGGTGGAAAGAGGGGGATGGGGTTGATAAGAGTTGGTCGGTGGCTTCTGAATGTCCGGAGGCAGCCCGTTGTTGGCCAGACGGGAATCCGTCTTCAAGGCTCGTAGCACCTGACAGGCAGGTTGGAGAGAGGGAGAGGAGGAGAGGAGGGAATGGATTGGGTTGACAACACTTGCTGGTCAGCAGCTTCTGAATGTCCGGAGGCAGCCCGTTGTTGGCCAGGCGAGAATCCGTCTTCAAGGCTCGTAGCACCTGACAGGCAGGTTGGGTGGAGAGAGAGGTGAAGAGAGGCGGAGGGGAGGGATGGATCGGGCTGATTAGCAGCTTCTCACTGAATGTCGGCAGGCAGCCCGTTGTTGGCCAGGCTCGAATCCGTTTTAGAGCCCACAGAACCTGAGAGGCAGGTTGGAGAGTGCGAGGTGGAGAGATGGGGAGGGGAGGGATGGATGGGGTTGACAACAGTTGCTGGTCAGCAGCTTCTGAATGTCCTGAGGCAGCCAGTCGGGGATCCCATCCCGCTTCAAGCCCCTCTGCTCACTTGTACTGGCGCCAGTAATGCGCAATCTCCTTGAGGTGAGAGGCAAGTGGCGCCCAGGTGGTGAAGGGCACGCGCTTCACCTCTGCAAGCTTCAACTCGCGGGGCAGGCGCCGCACCACTGGCTGGTGAGAGTGACAAGCCACCCCAATAAGGCCCATAACCCCCTCTCCCCACCTTGTACTGGCGCCAGTAGCGGCCGATCTCCTTGGAGTAATAAGCAAGTGGTGCCCAGCTGGTGAAGTGCACGCGCTTCACCTCTGCAAGCTTCAACTCGCGGGGCAGGCGCCGCACCACTGGCTGGTGAGAGTGACAAGCCACCCCAATAAGGCCCATAACCCCCTCTCCCCACCTTGTACTGGCGCCAGTAGCGGCCGATCTCCTTGGAGTAATAAGCAAGTGGCGCCCAGCTGGTGAAGTGCACGCGCTTCACCTCTGCAAGCTTCAACTCGCGGGGCAGGCGCCGCACCACTGGCTGGTGAGAGTGACAAGCCACCCCAATAAGGCCCATAACCCCCTCTCCCCACCTTGTACTGGCGCCAGTAGCGGCCGATCTCCTTGGAGTAATAAGCAAGTGGCGCCCAGCTGGTGAAGTGCACGCGCTTCACCTCTGCAAGCTTCAACTCGCGGGGCAGGCGCCGCACCACTGGCTGGTGAGAGTGACAAGCCACCCCAATAAGGCCCATAACCCCCTCTCCCCACCTTGTACTGGCGCCAGTAGCGGCCGATCTCCTTGGAGTAATAAGCAAGTGGCGCCCAGCTGGTGAAGTGCACGCGCTTCACCTCTGCAAGCTTCAGCTCGCGGGGCAGGCGCCGCACCACTGGCACGTCACCAGCTAGCGCGGAGATGAAGTGGTCCGTGTCAAACACGTCCGAGAAGTTGCTGAAAGTGGGGGGGAAGAAAGTGGAGACAGCGGGGTTGGGGGTTGAGGCACGTCACCAGCTAGGGAGGAGATGAAGTGATCCGTGTCAAACACGTCCGAGAAGTTGCTGCGGATAGAAGGAGGGTGGGGAGAGGGGGGGTGGGGGAAGGGGGGGAGGGGAGGGGGGGAGGGGAGGGAGATCGTGGGCATGATGAGGGTAAGGCACGTCTCCCCCCAGGGAGGAGATGAAGTGGTCTGTGTCAAATACGTCTGAGAAGTTGCTGCGGATGGGAGGGACAGAGGGGGGGAGGAGAGGTGTTTGAGGATAATGAGGGTGATGCACGTCTCCCGCCAGGGAGGAGATGAAGTGGTCCGTGTCAAACACATCAGAGAAGTTGCTGCTTGAGGGGGGGGGGGGGGGGAGGGGGGAGGTGAGAAGAGAGGGCGTGAGGATGATGAGGGTAAGGCACGTCTCACCCAGGGAGGAGATGAAGTGGTCCGTGTAAAACACGTCAGAGAAGTTGCTGATGGGGTGGGGGGGGGGGGGAGTGGGGGAGACGAGGTTCGGGAGGTGAGGATGAAAAGGGTGAGAGGAGTGAGGATGAGACACATCGCCCGCCAGGGAGGAGATGAAGTGGTCCGTGTCAAACACATCTGAGAAGTTGCTGCGGAGTGGGGGAAAACGGGGGGCGAGAGGATGATGAGGGTGAGGAAGAGAGGGATGGGGATGAAAAGGGGTGAGCACGTCGACTGCTAGAGAGGAGATGAAGTGGTCCGTGTCAAACACATCTGAGAAGGTATGCCCACACCTGCAGTCCCGCACCTGCAGTCCCGCACCTGCAGTCCCGCACCTGCAGTCCCGCACCTGCAGTCCCACACCTGCAGTCCCGCACCTGCAGTCCCGCACCTGCAGTCCCGCACCTGCAGTCCTGCACCTGCAGTCCCGCACCTGCAGTCCCGCACCTGCAGTCCCGCACCTGCAGTCCCGCACCTGCAGTCCTGCACCTGCAGTCCCGCACCTGCAGTCCCGCACCTGCAGTCCCGCACCTGCAGTCCCGCACCTGCAGTCCCACACCTGCAGTCACACACCTGCAGTCACATACCTGCAGTCCCACAGCTGCAGTCCCACAGCTGCAGTCCCACAGCTGCAGTCCCACACCTGCAATCACCTCACCGCACCTGGAGTCACCTCACCACACCTGGAGTCACCTCACCCCACCTGGAGGCTGGAGTCACCGCACTACACCTGGAGTCACCGCACTACACCTGGAGTCACCGCACACACCTGGATTCCCCGCACACACCTGGATTCACCACACACACCTGGATTCACCGCACACACCTGGAGTCACCTCACCCCACCTGGAGTCACCGCACTACACCTGGAATCCCGCACACACCTGGATTCACCGCACACACCTGGATTCACCGCACACACCTGGAGTCACCTCACCCCACCTGGAGTCACCGCATCACACCTGGAGTCCTGCCAGAAGGAGCTCTTGTCAAGCTCGGGAACGACAAGAGTGGCGTTGAGGATTCGTGCCACCGCCACCATGTCACAGATCTGATTGTGATAACAGGCGCAGCGAATGGGATGGAATGCTAAGATTGAGACGTCTCAAAACGAGCCACCGCCACCATGTCACAGATCTGATTGTGATGATGAAATGTTTGAAAATGAACAGAAGAGGTTAGTTGAAGATACCATGTCACAGATCTGATTGTGATGATGAAGAAAGGGTAAAAAGGAGCAGAGAGGGACTGGATGATGTGATGCAAGTGCGTGGGTGATGTGATGCAAGTGCGTGGGTGATGTGATGCAAGTGAGTGGGTGATGTGATGTGATATGGCATACAAGGCATCATACAGACCCCGGCGTGCATCCCGTACCAACATACCCCAGCGCGCATCTGGTTGAGCCCTCCATTGGCAAGGCAACTATCAAAAGGGGAACCATAAACGTACCCCAGCGCGCATCTGGTTGAGCCCTCCATTGGCATGCACCGTCAGATAGCCTCTCGTCCTCCTCCCACTGGCTGCCCCATGCCATGCCATGCCATGCCATGCCATGTCATGCCATGATAACACACACCATCCGTCCCATGCCATGCCAAGCCATCCAAACAAGCATCACCCGTTTCATCCGTTTCATGTCATACCGCACAGTAGCAACCCATCCATGCCATCCAGTCAGGTGACATTCATACAACAATATTATACACCCCAGATACGAATGATCAGGAAGGTAATATTGTACAACAAGTTGAAGTGTACAATGAGGAAGGCAATCGCACACAACAGCAACTCAAGGCCTACAATACAACCCCTCTCAAAGCCTCTCCAACCTTCCCTCGCCTCCCTGCCCACCTCTCTTGTAGCTGTCGCTAGGCTCAACACATGGCTGATACCCATGCGAAGGGGGGTTCTGCCACAGCCGCTTCTGCAGGTCCTCTGCCTGCCATGGGATAAGTTGCGATGGCACATGGGGTGGTGGGTTGAGGGAGGGGGCGTGGCACACGGCCCATACCCATGCGAAGGGGGGTTCTGCCACAGCCGCTTCTGCAGGTCCTCTGCCTGCCATGGGATAAGTTGCGATGGCACATGGGGTGGTGGGTTGAGGGAGGGGGCGTGGCACACGGCCCATACCCATGCGAAGGGGGGTTCTGCCACAGCCGCTTCTGCAGGTCCTCTGCCTGCCACACATGGGATAGGTTGCGATGGCACATGAGGAGGTGGGATGGGGTGGCGTGTTTTGAGTCGACTCAAAACACATGGCTGATACCCATGCGAAGGGGGGTTCTGCCACAACTGCTTCTGCAGGTCCTCTGCCTGCCATGCATGGGATGGGTTGCGATGGTACATGGGGTGGTGGGATGAGGGAGCGGGCGTGGCACATGGCACATGATTTGTCATGACACGTGGCACATGAATCGGCACGAAACGTCGCGCATGATTGGCATGACACGTAGAACATGGCATGGCATGGGATGGTTCACAACAAGAGCATTAAGATTCTGAAAAAAAAAAAAAAAAAAATGTATATATATATATATGGAGGAAACGATGTACACTCTCCACACAGAAACACAGCAATTCATGCACGAAATCTGTCAACGCTTGCCCAGCCACTCACGTTTACCAAGTACGTGCATACCAAACAATGTTCCAGACCAGGATCACATCACATAGAACTATACAAAAGCTCACTACACCCACCCACATAGTAGTCGAGGCTGCTGGGCTCTGATGCAGGCGCAAGGAGGTGAGCTGAGCCTCAGGTGAGTAACAACTAATTAGCTCCTCCTAACCACATACCGCACCTATACTGTCACACACCCACCACACCGCCACCCACTCACCCTGTAGCTCAGGCTGCTGGGTTCCGATGCAGGCACAAGGAGCTGCTCTGGCTTCTGCGCGCCAACACATGCTACACCCACACTCTCATGTCATCCCCCCGCCACACCCACCACACCGCCACCCACCCACCCACCCTGTAGCTCAGGCTGCTGGGTTCCGATGCAGGCACAAGGAGCTGCTCTGGCTCCTGCTCGCCAAAACGGCTGCTTGGGTACGAAAGAGACTGGCTGGCTGAAGGCAAGAGGATCTGAGAGGGAGCTCGAATCTGTGAGGTGGACGGTGGAGTGAAGACAGCACGGAATACGGAAAAGACAACGTTTGGGATGTCTCTAAAAGAACGGGTGACAGAAGGCAAGAGGATCTGAGAGGGAGCTCGAATCTGTGAGATGGACGGTGGGGTGAGGGGGACGGTACGGTGGTGTGAGCACAGCACGCAATTCGGAGACTGACGATACTAGAGACTCCTAACATTAATGGCTGGGAAAAGACACGAGGATCTGAAAGGGAGAGCGACTATGTGGGAGGGACTGTGCAGTAAAGATGTCACAGAATAGGGGGACTGGGGATTCATCTTCTAATGCAGCCAAGACGAACCAATGGAGAATGTGGGAAGGAGGATAGCACCACGGACAGCTGGCACCAGTTATTGTCCACAAATTCGCACAGAGTTTGCAATTTTGACTAGGAGGGACTCACTGGAACGATGTCATATTTGATCCCTTGCCGCTGGAGCATCTGCAGCGGATCTGGCGGCACCCCATTGAAGTCTTCGTCCTCTCGCTCCTCCTCCATTTCCAATACTCGAGAGCTTTCCCGCACTTTCGATCGTGCCAATTGCACGACCACCAGCGCTGCGACTGCTGCCCAGACGAGCAGCCATACGATGCGAGAGCCGGTCAGCGCCGGCAGCGGTACTGATTGACGCATCTGGAAGGAGAGGGAGGAGGACCCGGAATGCCGCGATTAGCGCCGGAACTACTGCATGCATCAGAAGGCACATGTTACGATAGACTTGAGCGCTGGCTCCAGTGAGTGACGCATCAAAACAAGGAGCGGAAACAAGTCGAGCCGGTAGACAAGGTAAAGAAGCGGAGGCGATAGGTGATTTAGACAGCGGAAGGCTGGCGAGATGCGTCTTTAGTGCACCGGATGTTGAATTCATCCGGTAGGCTGGTAAGGCTCTGTGGGCTGAATGCAGAATTCGGCCACTAGTCGGTAGGATTGGTATGAAGTGCACAGAATGCTGGATTCGGCCGGTAGGCCCGGCGCTCAGTACATTGGATGTTGAATTCTGTCAGCCTATCATGTTCGATACTTTAAAGCAACAGTGATGCAGCGAGGAGCGAGGGAATTACTCTTGAGGGAATCATGTGTTTCCGCTGCTTCAACGCACGAGAACGTGGCGACATGGACGACGCTTAGCTCGCGTTTCGAGGGAGCTTCATCTCGACGACGTGAAAGACAAGAACCATCTGGGTGCGAATCCGTTTGCTCGAGACGGTCCGTTCGGTCGAGGCACTAGGCGATTATATACAAATTAGAGCCCGAATGCACACAGTTCTCGTCTTCTTTGCAGGTGAATCTCAACGGAAAGCACGCATTGTTGTGCTATCTTCGATCAGGAAGTCGATGCTCTCTGATCACCTGCTAGGTAGGCCGGCTAAACTGATGGAACTGAACAAAAGCAAATTACAGTTCACGATTCACTATTGTGCAAATGATCACCTTCAGGGAGGCAAAATGCCGAAACCCAAGTTGGTAACCAAATTCGTCAACACCCAAATCTCGTGTAACCAATTTTCGTCAACAAATCAACGCGTTGCGCAATGCGCTGAAGGCCAAACCTTGGGAACTGATGACAAGGACCAGTCTGACGTGAAGTGATTGCAGAGAGCGACACCTGAGGATATGTGACACAATGCGAACATAGCACACTACTGAAGCCTACAAGGTATGCAAAAGTGTCTATATATCCTATCACATGGTACACCGCATAATGCTAACCGTGACCATTATAATTTGACATTCGTCTCCCTTCGTTCCTGTTGAGATTGCCGCCAGGCGATCTAAAAAGTCACATCAGATACGGCATTCCCAAGAACCACGGATCAATGTTGCTCACTCGTGCTGCAGCCGCTCCGTGGGTCTCGGCGGTCGGGCTAAGGCATACTTGACCAGGCTTCACCTACATACTTTACGCTCGTTGCGGATATCTGTGCTTGTTATATCTCACTCCTATTTACTTGTTGAAGCGTTGAAGCGCAGATGCTATTTCCTTTGAAGCTACTGCCGAAAAGGTATTGGCGTAATAGTTACAGCCAATGATCAACTCGCTACTGATCATGCAACCTGGTGCTCGTTGCTTGGCTTAGAATTTTTTGGCGGGACTTAGCTTTACCGCCAGCCGTAGGTTCTATTCTCTCTCAGCAGCTCTACTTTTCCACTGTCTCTAGTAATATCAATCGTCAGCTCTTCGTCGAGGTCAGACATATTCCTCCCGCGACCACTCGATTCTTATCTTTCCGTGTTCGCGATCAGCCTCGCTGTCGACTTTACCGCTCCCTCAAGCAGAGCTGACGATGGGTTCCCGCGCCAAATGGGATCCTTTCGTTGACGGCATTCTCGAGGTACGGTTCCCGTTTGAGCAGTACCCAGGCTCCTTAGGACGTGTTGGAAGTGGAATGGGAGACCTAAACATCCGTGTGAGACGTCACGGAACCGAACTGAACCGCGCTGTAGCGTTTTGAGAGCGTCAGCACTGTACTGCACCCCTGAACGACGTGGTCAGGAGCTTACGTTGTATGTCACTTGTACCACGCCTACGTAGTCAACGACTCGAGAACTATGTCGTGGTGACAAGCATCAGGAGGTTAACTTGCATGTCACTTGTACAATGTCGAGTTGCCTTCGCAACGCGTGCGTGCGAGCCCGGAGTGGGAACCTCCTAGCTCGAGCTACTAACCTGTGATCCTGTTCGTGTGGGTGTTTGCGTGCATGCGTGCGTGCTTGCATGCGTGCATGCGCGTATGTGTACGTGCCTGCATGTGTGCCTGCATGCGTGCGTGTTACCTGCTTTACGCCATCACCCATGCAGATACGGGTCCGGAACTGGCTCGAGGCAGTGTTGAAAGAGAAGCTACCGCCCGATACCACCCTGGCGGATACCCTTGCAGACGGCATGATCTTGTGAGTCCCCTTCCCATTGCGTATGTCTGTCCTCCTGATCATGCATTTTATATACAATTTTCTGTTATCTCCAGAGAAGTAGAGTTCCACTGTTCATCCTTTAGTCACGTCGCACTCCCCTCCCCTGGGGCCTCCGCTTGGCGCTCCGCTCTGCCCGGCACCACCAGGTCACGCCTGACTGACATCCTCTCGCCGTTCGCACCAAAGGGCGCTGGGATCAACCAACGGCAGCAGCAGCAGCAACAGCAGCAGGGGTGGGGCACGAAGATCAAGTGGGATGCCATGACATTCACTGATAATTTTCTCACGGTACCTACCTCCCCACCTGCCGCCTTTCATTGCGTTTTGAAACGTCTCCATGTCATGACTCCACGTTACAATAGCCGCGCCCATTGTTACTGCTCCAATGCGGGGCGTTCGGGCTGAGCGCCATCTACCTGTTGGCTCGGCCTCAGCCGATTCCAGTGCTCAGCGACTCCCCCATTGCTCCCCCATTCCAACCCAATCGCCCATCTAGATGTGCAAGGCGTTTGGGCTGAGCGCCATTGACCTGTTCACGTCAACAGACGTGGTGGAGAAGAAGGGCACCAAACGCGTCTGCCTCTGCATCCGCGCCCTCGCTCTCAAGCTGCGAGCGGCCGGCATCCTGGTGAGGCCTTTTCGCTTGCCCTTTCTGGCGAGTATTTCGAGCTGGGATGATGCCAGTGGTATCTGAGTTGTCCCAAAGCCTAACCTCAGACGTTCACTCCCCTACCCCCACTGCCACTGCCCGAGTGGTCCCAAATTGTAACCTCAAATCCCCACCCGCCCCCATCATTTCCCACCAATTCAGGCCATAGACTTTGAGCCGGCGTCGGCAGCAGCAGCAGTGAGTGTGGCGAGGCGCATGCCAGCAGAGGGGGGCGTGGTGGACCGCGCAGTGAGGGAGTTCATGGGGCCCAACTACAGGCACGGGCTCAGCCCCTGGTCGACTCTTACAGTAACCCCAAATAGCATCTCCTCTAATCCAATCCCCACATCCCCCACCGTCCGCCCCCAACCCCCACCACCCCTCACCACCCCCCACCAATTCAGGCCATAGACTTTGAGCCGGCGTCGGCAGCAGCAGCAGTGAGTGTGGCGAAGCGCATGCCAGCAGAGGGGGGTGTGGTAGACCGGGCAGTGAGGGAGTTCATGGGCCCCAACTACAGGCGCGGGTGGGGTAGGGAGAACGTGCCTGCGAGCCAATCAGGCTCGGAAAACAGCTACGATTTAACTGGCTGGGGTGGCGCTATGGGTGGCTCTGTAGCTGGTGCTGCTGGTGCTGCTGGTGCTGCTGGTGGTGGTGGCATTGGCAGTGTTGATGGTGGCAGTGGCATTGGTGGTGGTGATGGCAGTGGTGGTGCTGCTGCTGGTAGCAACGCCGGGAGCCAAGAACCGAAGGAGATGGAGAATGGGAAGGGCAGGGGGAAGGTGTCAGGCCTTGTCAGCAAAGGCTTTAGCTCTCTCTCTAACGAAGCAGAACCAACGCCAAAGAGCGTGCCAGATGTTCCTCCCGTCTCGAGACTGGACCCTCACATGGTTTGGCCTCCCCCCTCCGACCGCCTGTCAGCATCAGCGGAAGCAGCAGGGAGCTTCTATGCCAGCCTGGATGCTTCTCGTGATCCGTCGCTCGATGCAGTTACCACGTCAGCTGGCACGACCTCCTCGCTCACTGACGTCTCGGCAGGCGTTACAACTGTCTGCCATTCGGAAGGGGAAGAGGATTTGGAGTCTGAGTTTTCGTCCTGCCCGTCTTCGCCCCGGGCAGCGTCACATGCCCCGTGGAGTGCTATTATTGGAGGGGCAATAGCTTTTGTGGCTGTGATGCTGCTATTCCGACCATCCAGGTGAGTGCCTCTTTGCCTCGGGTTTTGCTTCTTATTTGATGCAGCACCATTTTTCTCGGAGTTGGTGCATCATGCCTTATTTTTCTTACTTCGTTTTATTTTGTGCTGTTGCAGGAAAAAATATCAAATAAAGAAGGGAGATACGCTTATAAACATTTCAAAGCAGGTTGGGAAGCGCAATTGGAAGGAGATTGCGGAACTCAACCCAGACATTTACAACCCTGACCTAATCTTCCCTAACAAATACGTGGTTGTAGACTAGATTATAGTGCTCCATCCAGGCACAGTGTGCATAAGTAGATGAGCCCTTTTTTAAATGTGTCGGTAGCTGCTATTATTATGCAGTTGTTATAAGGCTTGGAGCTTGTGTAGTGGGCCTGCTGTAAGGACTTTCTTGCTCAGATATAAGTGCATACCCGTCATACTTTGTTTCACGTGAATCACCGAGCCACCAAATGTCGCGTACAATGTGAGAATTTCACTGCTCCAGCATTTCTTGCTCACCACAGCATTTCCTCAACTCTCAAATTCCTATCCAGTTCTGCAGCCATGGCTCCCCCAGGTCCTCTCACGCGAATCCACGTTAGGAAGCACGTCTCCCTCCCAAGCAGTTTCACGCTTCTCGTTCTCGCCGTCCTTCTCGTCACTCTGGTTGCTCTCTCCCAGTCTAACTTCAAATTCAGAAACCAGGTTGTTTTGAATCCGAACGTCTCATTCACCAACAACATTCTTGCTGACTCGTCTGCCGAAACCGTCGCATTGCCAGCACCCACGGGGAATGATCAAGCTACGTCGCGTGCGGAGCATTGGGTTGATCAGGCGATCCTGACCGTCGATGGAGCGGCTCAAGGCCGTCCGATTTCGCCTTCGTTCTTCGGCATTTTTCTAGAGGTGGCCGTCCGTTCTTTAATTTATATGTCAGAGTCTCCGTTTTGTGGTTCCGTTTCTTCATTCAAGTCCTAAAGCTCTTAGGTGTTAGTTTCTAAGCGTGTGCATGCATACGTGCGTGTGTACGTTTGTGCGTGTGTGTGCGCGCGCGCAATGAGTCCGCATATGTGTGTGTGCGTGCGCAATGAGTCCGCATATGTGTGAGCGCGCGCGGAATGAGTCCGCAAATGTGTGTGTGTGCGCCAATGTGCGCAGGAGATTAACCACGGGGGAGCGGGAGGGCTGTACGCGGAGCTGGTGCAGAACCGAGGCAAGTTGGAGGGAGGGGTGTGGGGAGGGGAGAGGACGAGGGTGGAGGGAGAGAAGGCAGGGGGAAAGCGGGCAGAAGATCAATCACGGGGGAGCGGGAGGGCTGTGCGCGGAGCTGGTGCAGAACAGAGGCAAGCGGGGGCGGGTGAGGGAAGGGGGGGAGAAGGGACCGAGGGAGAGACGGCAGGTGGAGGAGGGAAGAGGGAAGGAGGACAGGGAGGAAGAGGGTAGGGGGGACAAAGGTGCAGAGGGGAGTGAGGAAGAGAGAAATACGAGGAAGGAGGGTTTTAGGGGGTAGGAGAATGGGGGCAAGGGGATTAATTGAGAAAGGGAGGGGAGCGAACGGAATAGAACAGGAAAGTGCAATAGCTGATGCTTTTGCTACTAAACACCCCTGCTATACCCTCTATTGCACGAACCCATACCCTTGAATACAATCTATTTCTTAGAGCTGCTGCGACACCCACCGTCTCCCATTCCCTCCCGCACTCCCATCCGTATGCTGGCTGCAGGATTCGAGGCAGGCGGGCAGGAGACCCCCTCTACAGTCCACCCGTGCTGCTGCGCACGGAAGGCTGCTCGGCCTCGCCCTTGCAAAACCCTTTTTTTTTTCTTCGTGAATTCTTTCCCGTGCTTCACTGCAGGGTTTGAAGCAGGCGGGCAAGTAACCCCCTCCACAATACACCCATCGCTGCCCATCGGATCCGAGCCCCACGTGCTGCTTCGCACCGAGCGCTGCTCGCCCTTCCCGCGCACAATCCCTTCCCTTGCCTTGCCTTCTCTCCTGAATGTCTGCAGGCTTCGAAGCAGGCGGGCAGGAAACCCCCTCCACGATCCACCCATGGCTGCCCATCGGATCAGAGCCCCACGTGCTGCTGCGCACGGAGCGCTGCTCGCCCTTCCCGCGCAACCCCATCGCCCTGCGCATCGACATCCACTGCCCTAATTTGCCACCGGAGCAAGAGGGCGAGCAGAGAGGGGGCGAGAGGAGAGAGGGCGAGCAGAGAGGGTTCGAGAGGAGAGAGGGCGAGCAGAGAGGGGGCGAGAGGGGAGAGGGCGAGCAGCACTTGGGGCTCCCCTCGCAACGAGAGGAGAGGCAACACGAGCGAGCTGTGGGCTGGGAGCACGCCCTGGGGCTAAGTGCTGCTGCCCGCAGGCTGTCTGCTTCACGTGGGCTGGCCGGTGGGGAGACGCTGCATGCGCTTGCGAGCGTGGTGGGATCCCCTCCTTCGCCTGGAGGGGCCGCTGGGGTGGGCGTGTGGGCGGCTGTGAGGCACTGGCTGGGCGGGATGCTGGGGCTGAGGCTGGCAGATGGGGATTCGCTGGGAGAACTGGCGGGGCGTGGCGCTGCTGGTGGTGGTGGCAAGGGGAGGAGGAGACACGGAGAGGAGCGGGAGGAGGGAGAGGATGGAGAGGAGGGAGGGGAGGGAGAGGAGGGGCGGGCGTGTGAAGATGGTGTGGGGGTGCTCAATCCCGGCTACTGGGGCATGGTGAGTGGGACATCATGCTCCATCCTCCCATCGTCCCATCATGCCCCACCGTGCCATCATGCCCCGTCATGCCATCATCCCACCATTCCACCTTCCATGGAACCATCAGAACAGCATAGTGCAAGGCCGGGCTTACAACCTCATTCTGCACAGCACGATCACTCTTATACCTTCGACTAGTTCTTAGTACGACACTCTTCTACTCCTCCCATCCCTATCCCGTGTTCCACCATCCCATGCCCCATCATGCCATACCCCACCATCCCATGCCCTACCATCCATGCCCCACCATGCCATCATCCATCCCCCCATCAGAACATCCAGCAAGGCCGTGCATACAACATCATCCTGCATGCGCTTGCCACGCCCCCCCTCTCCCTCCGCCTCTCCTTCCTCTGCTCGCCCGCCCTCCCTCCCCCTTCCCCCTTCTCTTCAGTCCCCGTCGTTGGGTCAGCTCATGTCAGGTACAACACGCACTATCAGTTCCTTTTCACATCAGCCATCGATCGCACCACAATGCAGGCACTACGGAGCCATGGCACGAGAGAGAATGCATCCGTTAGCCTCTTGGAGGAATGTGGTTAACGCCCTCGGTCTCTCAGCGTGCACTCCTGCTCCAATGCACCCGTACGCCCGTTCGCCCTCGCATCCATGCAGTAATACGCCCGCATGTTCCACCCGTGTTCCACCCACACTGGCATGTCATGCGGGCGGATATAGCAGGCTGCAGGCGGGCTGCAGGTTAACGCCCTAGGTCTCGCCCGCCTTCATGCGCTTCCCGTGGAGGGCGTGCCGCTGACTACTTGGAGCGGCTGCATGCCAACACGCATACTCTCATGCACCGTTACATCCCGTGTTCCACCCATAGGGTCACGGCATGAGTACGGACATAGCCACAATGCTTGAGAGCCTATCTTCCAGCTTCATGCGCTTCCCCGGCGGCTGCTACGTGGAGGGCGTGCGGCTGGCCAATGCCATGCCCCCATGCACCCATGTTCCACCCGTCCACCCATACACCACAGGCCCATGGCATGTGGGGGGACATAGCAACCATGCTGCAGGGCCTCTCCCCCGGCTTCATGCGCTTCCCCAGGGGCTGCTACGTGGAGGGCGTGTGGCTCGCCAAGGCCGTGCCCCCATGCACCCATGTTCCACCCGTCCACCCATAGGGCCATGGCATGCGGGCAGATATAGCAGCCATGCTCCAGGGTCTCTCCCCCGGCTTCATGCGCTTCCCCGGCGGCTGCTACGTGGAGGGGGTGCGGCTGGCCAATGCATTCCGATGGCGCTCCACCATCGGCCCTTGGGAACTCCGCCCGGGCCACTTCAATGACCGGTGCGTCTCTTTGCCCCTGCTGCTCTTCCTGCCTCTCACTGCCGTTTTTTGTACCCATGTCCTATCCTCTCCCACCTCTTCTCTCCTCTCCTCTCCTCTCTTCTTCCCCTTCCCCCTCCTACCCCACAACCCATCTGCACATCCCATCCCCAAACCCGCCTATCCAGTTCACCTACCCCCGCCCATCAGGTCTCCACCCCTTTCTCGTCCGTCCCTCGTCCCCATTCCGATGCACACCCCCATCCGTCCTATCCCACCAGGTGGGGGGGGTATTGGTCGGATGACGGGTTGGGGTTCTTTGAATAGGGCCCATCCCATCAGAGGATATTCCGATGGGCCTATTGGTGCCTTTGATTCGTCGCACAAGTATTCACTCAATTCCTACACGTACCCCCATGCCTACCCCCATGCACACAACCCCACCCGTGCACACCCACCAGGTGGGGGTATTGGTCGGATGACGGGTTGGGGTTCTTTGGATATCTTCAGTGGAGCACCGATTGGATGCCTTAGTTCCATCTTTTCTGCCTGCCACTCTTTCCCCCATCCACACATCCACCAGGTGGGGCTACTGGTCGGACGACGGGTTGGGGTTCTTTGAGTATCTTCAGTTCGCAGAGGACCAGTAAGGTGCCTCGTTTTCAACACGTGCCACTCTTCCCCCATGCGCACCCCCCATTCCTCCCCATCCCATCCACCCACCCCACCAGGTGGGGCTACTGGTCGGACGACGGGTTGGGGTTCTTTGAGTATCTTCAGTTCGCAGAGGACCTCGGCGCCATGCCCATCTGGGTTTTCAACAGCGGTGAGACTGGGTGGTGGGTGTTAAACAGCGGTGAGACTGGGTGTTCAACAGTGGTAAGCTGAGGAGGCACATTTGAGTATGAGTGTTGAGGACCTTGGCGCCACACCTATCTGGGTGATTGATAGCGGTGAGGCACGTGTGAGGCAAGAGCGCACACATGTGCTCTCTTGCCATTGTTTGTGGTGTGGGTAATTGGCACTACTTCTGAGAAATCTCTCTGCTTGGCCCAACAGCATGCATCTCTGCTTCCCTCCCCACTTTCGTGTCTCTTCCTCTCCTATACACTGCCATGCACTGCCATGCAGGCAACAGCCACACGGACAGTGTGTTCACAGGCGCCCTCGCTCCCTTCATTCAGGTCAGCTGTTCTCCCCCCTTCGCACCTCCCTCTCCCACCTCTCCCTCTTGTATGCGCCTCTTTCCTTCTCACCTTGGGTATGGAGTGTGGGCATGGGTGGGGGAAAGGGCGAGGAAAGCACATGTATGTCAGCAGTTATGTTTGCTCTGAGAATCATGTTGGATCACTCCCATGTTTGGCCACTCCCATGCTCTCCCCCACCCCTAACTCTGCATCCCCTGGGTTGCTCCCTGCCACGTGGCGCCACAGGAGGTGCTTGATGGAATCGAGTTCGCACGAGGGCCGTCGGATTCACGGTGGGGAGCAGAGAGGGCGGCCATGGGCCATCCTGAGCCGTTTGATCTGCGGCACGTGGGCATCGGGAATGAGAACTGCTACCAGGACAACTACAGAGGTGATGGAAGTAATCAAGGGGAAAGTAAACGAATGGTGACTGAGAAGGATAATTTCAGAGGTAATTCACTGTGCATAACGGGGATGGTGTTGTGATTTGATGTGAACGAGTGGGCACATGGGCATCGGAATGACAACTACAGAGGTGATTGGGAAGGAGGTGATGGGGTGGTGAAGGGGAAACGGAATGAACGGTGATTGAGAAGAACATGTACAGAGGCAATTGAGTGTGCGTATCAAGGGGAAGCAAGGGTGTGATGATGTGACCTGATGTGAGTGAATGGGCACGTGCGCATTGGCAATGAGAACTGCTACCAGGAAAATTACAGAGGTGCACATTGGTGAAGGGAAGGAGGTGAAGGGGTGATGCAGTGTCTCCCGCCGTGCTTCAGAAGCAACTCGGTGTGCCATGGGCCATAACCATGCCTCTCCCACCATGCTGTCCGCCTAGTGTTGCCATGCCTCAAGCCCATGCTACCCGGAAAATATGTATCTGTATTACTATATATATGTATATATATACCTGCACTGCATCCACCACACCTTCTCGCCCTCGCCACCTTCCAGGCAACTTCCTTCGTTTCCGGGCGGCAATCAAGGCGGCATACCCTGACATGGCGGTGGTGTACACGTGTGACGTCAGCAAGGGGCCTCCTGACCACCCCCCCACCGACCTCTACGATTTCCATGTATGCCGGCGGGGTGGCCGCCTTGGGATGACACTCCAGCCTGCGGTTCTGTGCGGTGCTGCGCGATGCTGTGCTTTGCTGTGTTCTGCTATATGGTCTTGTGCGGTGCAGTGCAATGAGGCACGGTGCGGTGCGGTGCTGCGCGTGGTAGCCACATGGCTGCATGTGCCGAACCTCTTAGACGTTTCAGCATGTGACGTTTCGAAAGCATTCCCCTGATGCACTCCCCCCCCTACAGATAGTTCCACTATTTCTGATCCTTCTGGTACACATATTTCCATCGGCTTGCATGCATCTTTTTCTGGCGCATGCATGTGTGCATCTTTGAAGGGATGGGGCACGCATTTTCTTTCAATTCTGCTCCTCGTGCCCCATCCAATGCACCCTAAACCCCATCCACCCCATCTCTCTCTGGCGCATGCATGTGTGCATCTTTGTCTCTCGTTTCCATTTCGCCTCTGCATGCATGCATGCATCTCTGTGTGCCTACCTGCTTCCCTCCCTGACATGATCACCTGTCGCTCGCAGTCCTTCGGCACAGCAGAGGGGATCTTCAGCTTGGGCCATTACTTCGATGACATCAGCAGAGATGGACCTAAGGTGACGTGGCAGGCAGAGATGGACCTAAGGTGACGTGGCAGGCAGAGATGGACCTAAGGTGACGTGGCAGGCAGAGATGGACCTAAGGTGACGTGGCAGGCAGAGATGGACCTAAGGTGACGTGGCATGCAGGTATGGTATCCTTGTGTGTTTTTCTGTGCCATGAATGCTTCAATAACCTCTCCTCTCTCGGATCCCCTCTCGCTCTCGCCCCTATCCCCTCTTAGCTTTCCCCTTTCTCCTCTCCCCTTCCTCTCTCCCCTCTCCCATCTCCCTCACCTCTTCTCCCAGCAGGCCTTTCTGAGCGAGTTCGCAGTGCAAGGGGGGGGAGGGGATGGCAATGTGCGGGCGGCAGTGGCAGAAGCGGGTTTTATCATCGGGCTCGAGAGGAACAGGTGAGCATTCCTCCTTTAAGTCACATGAAGTCATGGCATTTGGATGCTGCTCCCTCACATGGCAATGAGGGGGGGAGGGGATGGCAACGTGCGGGCGGCAGTGGCAGAAGCGGGTTTTCTCATCGGGCTCGAGAGGAACAGGTGAGCATTCCTCCTTTAAGTCACATGAAGTCATGGCATTTGGATGCTGCTCCCTCACATGGCAATGACGGGGGGAGGGGATGGCAACGTGCGGGCGGCAGTGGCAGAAGCGGGTTTTCTCATCGGGCTCGAGAGGAACAGGTGAGCGTTCCTTCTTTAAGTCACATGAAGTCATGGCATTTGGATGCTGCTCCCTCACATGGCAATGAGGGGGGGAGGGGATGGCAACGTGCGGGCAGCAGTGGCAGAAGCGGGTTTTCTCATCGGGCTCGAGAGGAACAGGTGAGCATTCCTCCTTTAAGTCACATGAAGTCATGGCATTTGGATGCTGCTCCCTCACATGGCAATGAGGGGGGGAGGGGATGGCAACGTGCGGGCGGCAGTGGCAGAAGCGGGTTTTCTCATCGGGCTCGAGAGGAACAGGTGAGCGTTCCTCCTTTAAGTCACATGAAGTCATGGCATTTGGATGCTGCTCCCTCACATGGCAATGAGGGGGGGAGGGGATGGCAACGTGCGGGCAGCAGTGGCAGAAGCGGGTTTTCTCATCGGGCTCGAGAGGAACAGGTGAGCATTCCTCCTTTAAGTCACATGAAGTCATGGCATTTGGATGCTGCTCCCTCACATGGCAATGAGGGGGGGAGGGGATGGCAACGTGCGGGCGGCAGTGGCAGAAGCGGGTTTTCTCATCGGGCTCGAGAGGAACAGGTGAGCGTTCCTCCTTTAAGTCACATGAAGTCATGGCATTTGGATGCTGCTCCCTCACATGGCAATGAGGGGGGGAGGGGATGGCAACGTGCGGGCAGCAGTGGCAGAAGCGGGTTTTCTCATCGGGCTCGAGAGGAACAGGTGAGCATTCCTCCTGTAAGTCACATGAAGTCATGGCATTTGGATGCTGCTCCCTCACATGGCAATGAGGGGGGGAGGGGATGGCAACGTGCGGGCAGCAGTGGCAGAGGCGGGCTTTCTCAAGGGGCTGGAGAGGAACAGGTGGGCTCCCTTACTTGACTTTACTTGACTTAGCTTGACTTGACCATTGCACACCCGTCCACACCCCTCCGTCTCCCTTCTTGCAGTGACGTGGTGGCAATGGTGAGCTACGCGCCCCTGCTGGTCAGCGTGCGTCATTTGACTTGGCTTGACTTAGCTTGACTTGACCATTGCACACCCGTCCACACCCCTCCGTCTCCCTTCTTGCAGTGACGTGGTGGCAATGGTGAGCTACGCGCCCCTGCTGGTCAGCGTGCGTCATTTGACTTGGCTTGACTTAGCTTGACTTGACCATTGCACACCCGTCCACACCCCTCCGTCTCCCTTCTTGCAGTGACGTGGTGGCCATGGTGAGCTACGCGCCCCTGCTGGTCAACGTGCATGACAGGAGGTGAGAGAGAGGAAGAGAGACGAGGAGGGAGAGAGAGGAGGCCAGAGGACGGAGAGAGAGGAGGGGGTTGAGGAGGCGAGGCGATGGCAGAAGCATCGTTCCCTATGTGGACGTCTGACCTCATCGTTTGATGCCCACCGCTTCTCAAAAGCAGCCCCTGCCACTAGTGCAGGGGCATATGCCACTACCTCATAGCCTTTGACTCACACCGCCTCTACGGCACCCCAAGCTACTGCCTGCACCGCATGTGCCAAGGCACCAAGGTGCCAACTCACCCCCCAATCCCTCCAACTCTCCCTTCCCCATGTTCCCCCAGCTGGACGCCTGACCTCATTGCCTTTGACACCCATCACCTGTACGGCACGCCAAGCTACTGCCTCCAACACATGTTCCAAGGCGCCAAGGGAGGCTCGCTGCCTCTCTTCTTGATCCCTCCCAAGCAACCCACCTCATGGTCTCCCCCCTCCTCTTCCCAGTTGGACGCCTGATCTCATTGCGTTTGACTCACACCGACTCTACGGCACCCCAAGCTACTGGCTTCACCGCATGTTCCAACGCTCCAAGGGAGGCTCTCTGCTGCCCTCCCGTCTCTCCCTCCTCTCCTCCTCCTCCTCCTCCTCCTCCTCCTCCTCCTCCTCCTCCTCCTCCTCCTCCTCCTCCTCCTCCTCCTCCTCCTCCCCACTTTCAAAAGCCCTTCTCTTGAATTTGACCTCCACCAGTGACGATGCACCTTCCCCAGATGCGACCTCCACCCCCCGAGGCGCTGAGGGCGGTGGTGATGTGCGTGCTGCAAGGCGGTTTGAAGCATCGGCTGTTCGAATCACAAGAGATGGCAATGCAGCGTCGGCAGCTGTTCTCGTGAAGGTCTGACTCTCTCCCTCCGTCGCCTTCTCTCTTTCCTAAGGGCTTCTCTTGCTGCTGGCAACAGCTGTACACCTCACGATGCATGCTCCACATGCCCCATCCAATGCACCCTAAACCCCATCCATCCACACCAGCCATCCGCAGTGACCCTCTGAGTGGACCTGCAAGGAGCAGCTGTCTCGGGCCCAGTGCTCCTCACTCGTCTCTCCAGCCCTCCACACGCCCCTTCCATGCCTGCACCAGCTCTGAGACTTCTCGAAACATGCAATTCCCTTTGGTCCACATGCCCCCATTCACACATTCCCCATTCACACATTCCCCATTCACACATGCGCGCTAAACCCCATCCACCCACCCCAGGCAGCCAACTTCCAGCCATCCGCAGTGACCCTCCGAGTGGACTTGCAGGGCGCCGCTGTTTCGGGCCCAGCGCTGCTCACTCGCCTCTCCAGCCTCACGGGGAACCCCGATGATGAGAACTCCCTCGAGGACCCTCTGAAGGTCAGTGCCACGTCTCATGCCACGTTAAAGTCAGTCGTAAGGCTCCCGGTCCTGTCCCAGGCAAGTGCTGCTCACTCGCCTCTCCAGCGCCTGGGGGAACCCCGACGATGAGAACTCCCTCGAGGACCCTGCGAAGGTCAGTGCCTCTTCTGATGAGAGCTTGTTTTTGAACTCCCTCGAGGACCCTGTGAAGGTCAGTGCCACGTCTCATGCCACGTTAAAGTCAGTCGTAAGGCTCCCGGTCCTGTCCCAGGCAAGTGCTGCTCACTCGCCTCTCCAGCGCCTGGGGGAACCCCGACGATGAGAACTCCCTCGAGGACCCTGCGAAGGTCAGTGCCTCTTCTGATGAGAGCTTGTTTTTGAACTCCCTCGAGGACCCTGTGAAGGTCAGTGCCACGTCTCATGCCACGTTAAAGTCAGTCGTAAGGCTCCCGGTCCTGTCCCAGGCAAGTGCTGCTCACTCGCCTCTCCAGCGCCTGGGGGAACCCCGACGATGAGAACTCCCTCGAGGACCCTGCGAAGGTCAGTGCCTCTTCTGATGAGAGCTTGTTTTTGAACTCCCTCGAGGACCCTGTGAAGGTCAGTGCCACGTCTCATTGAAGGCAAGTGCCACGTCTCATTGAAGGCAAGTGCCACGTCTCATTGAAGGCAAGTGCCACGTCTCATTGAAGGCAAGTGCCACGTCTCATTGAAGGCAAGTGCCACGTCTCATTGAAGGCAAGTGCCACGTCTCATTGAAGGCAAGTGCCACTTCTCATTGAAGGCAAGTGCCACTTCTCATTGAAGGCAAGTGCCACTTCTCATTGAAGGCAAGTGCCACTTCTCATTGAAGGCAAGTGCCACGTCTCATTGAAGGCAAGTGCCACGTCTCATTGAAGGCAAGTGCCACGTCTCATTGAAGGCAATTGCCACGTCTCATTGAAGGCAGGTGCCACGTCTCATTGAAGGCAAGTGCCACGTCTCATTGAAGGCAAGTGCCACGTCTCATTGAAGGCAAGTGCCACGTCTCATTGAAGGCAAGTGCCACGTCTCATTGAAGGCAACTGCCACGTCTCATTGAAGGCAAGTGCCACGTCCGTCTTGTGAGAGTCAGTCGTAAGGCTCCCGGTCCTGTCCCCGGCAAGTGCTGCTCACCCGCCTCTCCAGCCCCGCGGGGAACCCCGACGATGAGAACTCCCTCGAGGACCCTGTCAAGGTCAGTGCCTCTTCTGATGAGAGTTTGTTTTTGAACTCCCAAATATACCCTGTGAAATTCGTTATTTAGGTGCCTCATTAATTGCCCTATGAAGGTCATACTCATTCGGTAACATTGTCAACATCCGTGGTGCGGTGTTACCGTAACCGTAGTCTCGCTGTGGTACCATAATACCGTTGGATGGTGTGGTTCTTACAGGTGCATCGTCTGTAGCTGCCATTTCCATGAGGAAGTGCCACCCTTATCGATCCGACAGCTAGAATGTGCAACGTTGTAAGCACCTGATGATTCCTGCCTCTGCATGGTATTGCACCTGTTGCATGGTATCGCTACCCGCCTCTGGTAAAGAATCAATTCGGGTCCTGTTGAACAGTTTGCCTCCACATCCCCTCCCTGCCTCCACCCAGGTTTCTCCGATTGTGGATGCGCAGAATACAAGCACACTAAAATATTTGATACCGTCGATGTCAGCGGTTACGGTCGAGCTCCCTATTATGGACCTCTAGTTAAACTTTATGCTGCAGTGCTTCAGTTTGCAAAGCTGTTAGATGGCATGTTCTTGAGGATAGAAATTGCAAACACATACAGAGAATGGCACATGTCTACACTCAGAATTTTCCTAACAGAACGATGTGATATGCGCTCTAATTGCACAGGGTGAGGGCGAGGTGAGTGAGTTCCTAGCGGAGGCCGCGTGCAGGCTACTGTATCCTTTACAGTTCAATTTCGGCAAAGCGTATACAGTCTTGTACTGTACTGTACTACAGTGTGTTAGTGACCAATCAGAAGGCAAACTGTACAGCACGCTTCGTTCCCCAAACCGAGTCAAAGTTCTCGAAGCTGGCCCATTCCGTACAATTCTGTAGATATGCTTGGCTGTGATTGCCGAATCACAATGCCAATGCCAGCTTTCACGCGCACACCTGGTGGATGGCCTGCCGTGGATTTACTAACAGGGAAGAGCCTGCTGACGTGCCAAGAAAACAAGGGCCATGGAATCTACACCGTCCAGGTCGAATCGAGGCTTGATTGACATTTGGGGAGTGTATCATATGTGCAGCACTGGAGGGTGTGGGGTTGATCCGGAAGGGTGCCCTGAACCATGATCCAAGGACAAGTTTCTTAAACCCAGTACCTTTCGAAGTGGCAGAGGCGAGCAAAAGTCTCCTGAAATAAGGCGGTAACGCGAAACTATTGCGGAAATTTCCAGTAGGTGCTGTATCGCGGTGCCCCTTGAAATGGGTGGAATAGTGCTGCATCAATGGACGAACAAATGTAGTTCCTTTTGTCACGCTAGTGTGGGTGGAGCTTCCTAGGTTCTCGCCTCCAAACTACCAAATATCGGCCATGGTTCTGTTTTTTGCCCAATTATCCATCCATCCACCCATTTATGGGAATGCATCACTGACAAATCTTCACAAACCTCATCATCCGCCAAAACCAAACTCCACCTTTCTTCCACCGCCCTCACCCCGCCATGGCGGCGTGTTTCATCCTTGTGGCGTGTTTCGTCCTTCTCGAGATCTCTGATGTGGCATTCACGCCACGCCCGAATCTGCGGCCACTGCCATCAGCCCCTCGAGACAATTCTAGCCAGTGGATGAAGAGGAAGTGAAGTGTGAGGTTTCCCGTAGCAGCAGCTTTTGCCGTTCAAACATGTCACCATGAGCTTTCGGACTTAGTAAAATGCTAGCTTTCGTGACAAATCCGAGGAAACGTAATATTCTTAGGTTAGCTTTCTCGAGCTTCCATTGTACCCTGTCCGACTTCCGATCCTTCTGGATCTCCGCCGATACTATTCCTAGGTTCTCCTAGTCGATTCAAGTTTCTGTCCCTGGATCGTCGTCAGCCTCGTCGTCAAAGCCCGAGTCGCATGGCCTGCGACCCACTGTCGTCGGATGGCGGAGGGTGCGAGCTCTCGGACGTGGTGATGGCTCCTGCGACGGCCATTCCACGCGATGTATGGACTGTCGCGCAGTCTGGAGTGGCGCCGCGCGACGTCGTCGTGGGTTCGCTGCTCGATCGCAAACGGCGGTCGCCTCAATGCGACGGTCGCGAAGCGTTCAACCTTGCAGGTCGTGATCCCTCGACCGCTCCGATGGACGCGTTGCGCGACATTCACGGAGTTGCGTCTTGCGCCATTCATGCACGCACAGCCGGCGCCGCGCCTTCAGGAACGAGGTCTCCGCCACGATCGTTGTCTATGTTCACGCAGCCGCCATTGCCGCCGTCGCCGCCGCCAGCGCCGGCGGTGCTAGCTCTTAGAAGATCAGCCACAGGCGAAGCCAGAGATCTTGCCACCAAACCGTTCCATCGAACCTTAATCACAATCTCCAATCCCGCGGCGCGGCCCCTTCTAGATCCAGACAGTATCGTGCTCGATAGTGACATGGCCCGTGCCACCTGTCCGTCATCGGTAGACGCGTTTCGTCAAACGTGTGGCCACGATGTTCCCGCTAGAATCCCGCAATCGCAGGACTGGAGCGTGGAAGCTGGCAGATCCTTTCTCCCGCGCCTCGACCGGATCCACATAAGCCGCCCCGCACCTTTCCGAGGTGTTGCCTTCCCTGGTCACGACCGGTCCCTTCCCGCACAGCAGCAAGAGTTAGGGCTATCGTCGTCCGCGCCGCACGGCTCTCTTCCGTTGAGACTGCAGTGCTCGTGGATGTGGGAGCAGCCGATTCCGTCAAGTCAACCGAGTCAACGTAGTCTACCGCGTCAACTGGTCGACTTGAATCAGTCCACAGACGAACCGCCACTCGAGGTCCCCACGGCAAATCAGGGAGTTCAACATGCCGCATCGCCGCTCCCCTCCCGCCGCTCACCAACGGCCTTGGCGCTCTCGTCGCAGCGCGACTGGGGGCAGGCCGTGCATTCGCCCAAGAAGCCTCGTGACATTCCCGAGGCGATTGGGCGGCAGGCGTTGGCCCTAGCGGTCAGCGAACGGGAGGAGGAGATTTTTCAGAGGCGGCGCGAGCAGCGGCTGCGGATTCTGGGCGGCTTGAGGCACGCGCTTGACGAACCGGCGGCGGCTTGCGCGGCTGCCGCTGCCGGCCTCGAAGGGCAAAGCCCGCTGTTTGTGCTCCGCCAGGGTCCATTCAGTTGCCGAATAACGAGTCGTGCTTGTAACGGGGAAAAGGCTAGTAGTCCAGGGGGTGGGACTGAAATGAGGGAAACAGGATTAGTAACGGCAGGAGAGGGTGTGGTTGGGGGGGGCGACACAACCGCCGCCGGATTCGTACCGGCCGGGGGAGGCGAGGCAGGCGCAGACTACGGGGGTGGCGGGGAAAGAAGGCGGAGCGACGAGGAGCGCAGTGGGGCTGGCGCAATAGCGGAACGACAGCGGAGCGCGACATTGGCGGTGGAACTCCGCTCGACGATGCGCGTCGAGGTTACTAGTCCGCACGCCGCCGCGCTCGCGTCGCTAGATGCGCCCACGGCCCTCCCGCCTCTCGGGGCGCCAATTGCGCCACTTCCTGCGGGCTGGAAGCAGCAAAGGCGCGTGCGAGCGCGCTCTGCCTTCGAAAGCCGTGACCTGATGGGCGGTGGGGCGGAGGGCTTCCCCGGCTTTCCGGGGCAGGCGGAGCTGACCGCGGAAGGCGCGTTGCGCTCGCCCGCGCTGGCGCGGGAAGCTACGGAAAGCGGAAAGCGCGCGCAGAAACGGCGGAATAGCAGCGAATGGGAGCTGTACGCTAGCGGGGAAGAGGCGCGCGGGGAGTGGGGGCGCGGGGAAACGGGCGGACTGGGGGAAACCGGGCGCGGCGGAAAGGACAGCAAGAGCGGGGATTCGAGCGTGGAGACTCGGCGCGGAGGTACTGGGCAGGGGGATGGGGGAGGGGAGGCGGAACGAGGAAGGCAGCACGAGGTGGAGTCGAGGGGAGGAGCGAGGAAGGAGAGGGAGAAGGGAGGAGCGAGAGAGGAGAGGGAGAAGGGAGGAGCGAGGGAGGAGGAACGGGATAGGGCAGGAGGAGAGGTGAGGCGGGAGGAGGGACAGGGGCAGGGGCAGGAGGCGGGGATGCAATGGCAAACGATTGGTCCTCCGTGGTTAACGCCTGGGCAGGCAGAGCAGCAGCAGCTAGAGCAGCAGAAGGGGCAGCAGGAATGGTGGCAGCAGGGGGGAGTGAGGAAGCAGGGTAAGATGGAGAGGATGGATGAAGGGCTGAGAGCGCCGCTAGTCCCATACCTGCACTCCACAAGCCAATCGCACCCATGCTCGCCCCTCATTCTGACTCCCTTCTCAACCCCAAACACGCGTGATAGATTGCTGGTTGGTGCTGGAAGGAGTGGGGTTGTCGCTGCTGCTGGTTCTGCTCCTGCCGCCCACCGCAGAGCAGCCAGCACTGTGCCCATTCTGGGCGGCACACTGGCGGTGAACAGTGGTGGCCGGATGGGCAGTGAGAGTGGAGGGTTTTTGTCTTCTTCTGGTGTGGCTGGGGGTGCTGCTGAATTCCCTCTGTGGGTGCGGAACAGTGAAGCGGAATCGTATCTGCACTCTGCCGCCCACCCAGTGCTGCTGGCTGAGAGTATGGGGGAGTCATAAGAAGGACTGCAGGAGCCGCAGATACCGGTACCACCAGTGCTGCGGGTCAGACTGGTGCAGACCAGACTGGTGCTCGTGCTGCTTCCTTTATTGTTGATAGCTCGTGCACGCCACGCCCCCCTTGCTCCCGTACCTCCTCCATCCATTCCTCATCAGGATCTGCTCTTCCTGCTATTGAACTCCCCCATGCATATCACCCTTCGGGTTTTAAAATCCGTATAGAAACTGGGGTGGGTGCAACAAACAGTGGCTGGAAATACAAAGCACAAGGTTGCTTTAAAATGGTCAATTTCTGTACAGGCAAAGAGAGACATTGAGTGTTTCTAGGCTGGGATGCCTGTCCTTCATCATCCTCATCAGGTCTGTGGGATTTAATTGACTTTCCAAGAATACACTTGAAGTGTTTTCAGCTGAAAATGTTAGGCCCCTTGGCCTAAATCCGCTAAGGAATAGCGGGGTAAGTCGAGGATGAAATCCGGCGGAAGACTTTGCCTAAGAATGTATCTGCGAAATAGGCGAAGGTCTTACTGAGTAAGAATTAATGAGAATTGGTTGATATTTGCGAATACCGGTACAAGCAAGGTTGATATAGCATCCAACAGCGAATGTCGTAAACTACCGTAGTTCGTGGGACTGGAAATGGGAATGCAAGAAAACTATAGCGCCAAGTGGCGGATAGGAAATCCTGAAAATCTGAAGAGATTGGATGAATATAATGTTAAAATAGTACCGTAGGTGAACCTAGGCTTAGGAGAAACCCTAGCCTAGGTGAATGTCGAGAGGAAGGAGAGAGAGTAGCACAAAAGGATGGTTGCACTATATAATTGCAAGTACAAATAGATGAGAAACATGCAAGGAGAGGTGCACCACAAGCAGGAAATCATGATGCCTACATTACAACTACAAGCAGTTATAAAATATGTAAACATATTTCGACACGCCCCCATAATTGCTTGTAGGAAGAAGTGTAGTTACGCCCCCTGAAGGGGTACACCACGCGCAGTGGAAGACAGCAAGGAGGTAAATGAGGAGGAGGAGGCGAGAGAGAGAGAGAGAGAGAGGAGAGGAGAGGGATGAGGAGAGGAGGTGGGGGGGAGCCTAGCGCGGCTGTTGGAATAACCGAAAGGTTATCATAACATTCCCGAAGGCTCTCCACTCGCGCGTCACTCCATAACGAAGTAACGCGCCTGTATCAGTATCGCAATAGCTCATATAGAGCATGCGGAAGGTCGAGGGTCACCCGAAGGTCAACAGTCGAAGACAGTCAACGGTCGTGACCCTTGACTGCCCAGTAACCGCACTTGGTGGTTACGCGCTGCAACATGGTAACTGTCAAGAATAGCAATAGTCGTGGTTACTGTATCAATGTAATTCGGTTAAGAAGGGAATGTACCCCTCAGAGTACATGGCTAGCTAGGATTGCTATTTATTCCTTGTATCACTATCCTTAATCATCTTGTTCTCTCTTAATCTTATCAACAAGGTCATTAAGAGACTTCATAGTCTTTCCTTAAACTTAACAGCCTTATCCTGTTCACTACAATCCTTCACCTATAACAACAGCGGCGAGCCCCTCTTACGAACCTCCTTTTTACAAAGGGGGGGGGTGAGAGAGGAATGAGGAGAGGAGGTGGGGGGAAGCCTAGCGCGGCGAGCCCCTCTTACGAACCCCCGTTTTACAAAGGGGGGAGGGTGAGAGAGGGAGGAGAGGAGGTGGGGGGGAGCCTAGCGCGGCAAGCCCCTCTTACTAACCCCCTAATTCCACGCCCCCTTTCAGCCACCCCTCTCAACCTTGTTGGGCTGAGAAAAAGCACTTAGGATCGTTGCAAGGCTAAGATCCTGAGTAGAGATGTTGTAATTGCGGAAGCGTTCTTAATGAACTGTTGAACCAAGTGTGTGAGAGCAAGAGATTGATTATAGCAAAGTAATACAAAGCTTTTATATGATTACAAGGAATATGAAAGGATGCAACCAACTGTTTTACTGTTGTTGTTGCGGTTCGATACAGCGACGACTCGGACAACTGCTTAGTACCGAGTCAGTTGTTTGTCATTGCTGTCGCGCTGCCTTTGTCAAGTCAAAGGTCGCCGACCTTTGACTTTCGCGTAACCTCCAGATGTTACGTTTGTCAACCTCCTTGGTTGACTCGCTGTTGCTTCACAGTAATCTGCCTCGTTTGTAGTTCGTTGTTCCGACACATCAGAAGCGTTAAATCACTTGTTTCCAACACTCCCCTTTGCTTCTGGAGTGTCGTTGCTGGTGACGTGGCCTTGTCCAGTCAGCAACATGCAGTACTCGAACTTCTGCTTTCCGAGTTTCTTGGTCAAGTAATCAGCTGCCATTTCGGTTGTGGGGCAGTAGGACAGCTCCAGTCTCCCCTTCTCAATCTCGTCTTTCACGAAGAAATACCGCAGAGCGATGTGCTTCGTACGATTCGCGAACCCGCTCTTGTTCGCTATGCGGATTGCTGATTGGTTGTCGCAGAACACGGAGAAGTTGGGTAACTGAGCTAGCTTCGCTTCTTCCAGTAGTTCGCGAAGGTACAATCCTTCCTTGGTGACTGAGCAGAGTGCGATATATTCTGCTTCAGCTGAGGAGAGAGCAATTAGCTCTTGCTTGCTCGACTGCCACGAGATGGGGCCGATAGGTTCGAGGCGGTAGATGTAGCCGGTGCGCGATCGTCTGTTGTCGGAGTCGCCGGCGTGGTCAGCATCCACATAACCGATTAGCTTAGGCGTCGTAGTTCCGGTCTTGTGGTAGGTTAGGCCGATCGTCGGGGTGCTGACGAGGTAGTGAAGTGCGCGGTCGAGCTCCGCCATGTGCTCTGCTTCAGGCTTCTTGAGGTAGGTAGCGAGTTGGCTCGCTGAGTACGATAGATCCGGTCGGCAGGTAACGGCTGCGAAGAGTAGACAGCCAAGCTTTCATTGGTAGTCGCGAATGCCGACGGGTTTGAGCAGAGTGGAGATTTCCTTGCGGCTTCCGTCGGTGTAGTGGTATGGTGTGGTGATGGCGGCTGGAATTAGTCCGAAGCGCTTGGCGATAGTGTCGGCGTATTTTGCGGCGCTGAGGTAGATTGCGTTTTCCCCGTCTTGTATGTTGAGTCCCAGGTACTGTGTCACGGTAGACGAGACAGTGAGCAAGAGATCCCGCTGTAGCTCCCCTTCAAACCAGGTTGTGATGCCGTCGGTTGAGCCGATGTAGAGCAGGTCGTCCACATAGACGATGAGTAAGATGTAGTCGGCGCCCTTCGTAAGTCGGTACATTCCTTGGTCGTGTGGCAATTGGCGGAATCCGATGCGAATGAGTCGGGCGTGAAGGTACTGCTGCCACAGTCTCGGGGCTTGCTTGATGCCGTACAGTGATTTCAGCAGTTGACAGACTTGGTTGGGGTCTGCGTTAGAGCCGTGTGGTTGCTCGACAAAGATCTCAGCGTCGACGGGAGCGTACAGAAAGGCGTTGGCGACGTCGATTTGGCGGAGCTTCTTTCGCTTCATGGTGGCTATCGCGAGGAGAATCCGCAGTGAGGTGTGTCGGCTAACTGGCGCGAAGGTTTCGGCGAAGTCTCGTCCGTGCTCTTGATCGAAGCCACGCACGACCCATCGTGCTTTGAACTTGTCAATGGTTCCGTCGGCTTTGGTCTTCACGCGGAAAACCCATTTTCCCGTGAGAATGGTTTTGTTGCGTGCCACTCCGATAGGTACGACTTTCCAGGTGTTGAGCTCTTCCAGCGCCTTTAACTCTCTGTCCATGGCTTCGCGCCATTTTTCCCTGTGCTCCCCCCCCAGAGCATGCTGAACCATTGCAGGCTCCTTTGGTGGCGCTGCTCCGGCGGTGACGAGTCCCAGTATCTGCAGCCCACTCTGTGTGTAGCGGGGGAGTGTTGGATCCTCTGGATAAGCTGCTTCGTCTCCCGCTTCTGGATCAGGTAGGGAATTGGGCCCTATGCGTTCGGAAATGTTGGTGTCGACCGGGTGATGTGTAACGTAACCGTTGTCAGCGATGTCGTAGAAGACTTCGGCGTTGATGCTTTCGCGAGAGTTGTCGTCGTCCATCGGGATATCCACCGAACAGTAGGGAAGAGGTCCGGCTTCTTCCGAAGCTCTGCCCACATTCTGCTCGTCCCAGTCAGCTTCATCTGCTGCCGAAGCGAAGGCTCGGTCCCCACGAAATCCGCCTGTGACGTCTCGTGAAGTTTCCAAGTTGTACAGGTACGTCGGAAGTGTGAGACGTTCGTAGAAGATCACGTCACGTGCTGCCACTGTTTCCTTCGTGTGGACGTCGAAAATCTTCCACGCGTTGCAGTGTTTTTCAATGCCCAGGTGTAGTCCCCGTTGTGCGCGTTGGGAGAATCGACCGGCGCGTGTAGCTGGGGGTCGGTACTGTACGATGCAGAAGAACACTCGTAACATTTTTGTGTTGCCCAATTTTCCTGTCCACAGCAGATGCGGTGATGCGTTGTTCGGGAGCGATGATGACGAGAGCAAGTTGTGCAGCATGACAGCGTGGTCCATTGCCTCGGGCCACTGGTGGTTGGGTAGCCGCATGCCACGTAGCAGCTTGCGCATGGTGTTCTGGAGGGTCCTGTTCATTCTTTCTGCCACGCCTTGCTGTTGATGAGCGTAGGGAAGGGAGATGAGTCGCTTGATGCCTCTCTCTGCCAAGTACTGCTTGAACCTCTGTGACTGATATTCCCCTCCCCCGTCTGACTGGAAGCTTTTCAGCTTCACTCCTGATTCTCGTTCTGCTACTGGAAGCCAGGCGACGAAGACTTCGAAGGCCATGTCGCGGCTCGGAAGGTTGAGGTGCCAGACGTAACGGGTGGCGGCGTCGATGAACGTGATGACGTAGTTGTACGCTCCTTGTCCATTTTCACGGTTGAACAGTATGTCGCTGTAGACCTTCTCCAGTGGTGCGTATGCCGACGCGCTTGGGTTGTGGTGAGAGACGAACGGCTGATGAGGTAAGTCGGCTTCAGGGCAGGTAAAGCACGTTCCTCGAAC